TCCTATGCCATTCAGACCATCCCTAATTTGCAGACCCATTATGCCCTTCCTACCCCTCCCCCTCCTAGATGCCCAGACCACACTCGCCCCCCAGGAACCCCCCACCCCCCAGGAACCCCCCACCCCCTTTCGCCCCCCAGACCTCCAGAGAAAGGGTGAACTCTGGTACCAGAGTTTCCAAGATGAGTTTCAAGGTATAGTACACAAATGAGGATGGGGTATCCAATAAAGCAGAAGTTATAAAAGAAAGAGTGAGGCAGATCCAGTCAGAGTTGTAATAATGGAAACTAAAATAAATGGCATGATCTCGGATGCTATCTTTCCAGAGGGATACCAAGTGATAAGAAAAGAAAGGACACAGAGACAGGGAGGAGGAGTGGCACTCCTAATAAAGCAGAAATGGAAGTTTGAAGACTTGGAAAATCGATGTACTAATGAGAGCACAAGCTTCATACATGGAACTCTGACAGCAGATGGGAAGAAGATTGTGACCTTGATAATCTACAATCCCCCACCAAATAGTAGAAAGTCCAGGCGGGAGGAGTATGATGACAACAACAAGGCATGTAGTGATGAACTGCAGAGGGTAGCAACAATAGCTCACAGAATGAGAGCGATATTGTTGGTCATGGAGGACCTAAATCACGGAGAGATCAATTGGGAATCAAAGAATCCCCATGGCAGGGAAGAAACGTGTGGAGCAAAGTTAGTAGACGTTTTAGACAGGAATTTCCTAACACAACATGTGAAGGAAGATAGATGAAAAAGAGGATGGGATTCACCGAGCCTCTTAGACCTGAATTTTACTTAGAATGTAGAAAACATCGAGAATTTGGAACATGAAATACCACAAGGAGCCAGTGACCATTGTGTCCTAGTCTTTGACTACATGATGGAACTTAAAGTTGTGAACAAGGGACAAGAGGTCTGGGAAAGAAGAGCTGACTACAGGAAAGGGGACTACAGAAGGATAAGGGACTACTTGGGAGAAGTGCAGTGGGAGGAAGAAATTAGAGGAAAAACAGTGCAAGATATGATGAACCTAGTCATATGGAAATGCAAGGAGACCGAAGAGAAATTTATACCAACAGTAAAGGAAAAAAGTAGGAGGGAATATAATAACCCATGGCTTAATAGACAGTGTCAGGAAACAAAAATGAGAAGCATGGCGGGAGTGGAGGAAGTACAGAAGACAAAGGACAGAGGACAACAGGATTAGATGCAACAGGGCTAGGAACGATTACATTAATTAACATACAAAGAGTATTTGGAAAGAAATTATAAAAATGATATTGCAGTCAAAGCGAAAAAGCAACCTAAATTACTACATAGCCATATAAGAAGAAAGATGTAGGTGAACGACCAAGTGACAAGACTAAGGAAAACAGAAGGTGCATATACAGTAAGTGACAAGGAAATCTGCAAGGCACTGAATGTCAGTTTCCATGGAGTGTTCACAACCAAGCCTGAGTGGCTCCCATTGTTAGAAGAGATTACCCTAGATGAAAGACTATCAGATATAGAGGTGACAGCACAGGAGGTATTGAAACAGTTGACAATACTTGATACAACTAAAGCGGTTGGACCAGACAAAGTATCACCGTGGATACTAAAAGAGGCAGCGCAGGCCCTCAGCGTGCCTCTGGCAATGATCTTTAATGAGTCACTTATGTCGGGAGAATTGCCCAGTTGCTGGAAGAAGGCAAATGTCATACAGATTTTCATGACAGGAGATAGGGCACTTAACTACAGACCCATGTCACTGCAGCCCGTCCTCCAGAAATGGGGAGGTAAATGTAACAGCCCCATAAGTGCAATTATGTACTATGTAAGGCAGTCAGGAATTGTAGTTACTTTCACTTAATATTAAACCGTACTGGCAAATATATCGTGAATATTTGAGTATACCTAAAAAGCTTAATAGAAAACCACAATCTAACCTAACCGTCTTAGTTTTTGAAGATAAGCATTTTATTGCTTCTTACTTATAATTACTACTTAACCTATAGTAATAAATTGTTATTACAGTTTTATAAAACAAAACTATATATTTAAATAAGTTGTAAAGTAACTTAGGATATTTTTAAAATTTTGTATAAAATCTCTATTGTTTAATAAAACTGAAAAAGAAATTACTGATATTTAAAACTTTTATATAACAAATTGGACCTTAAAACTTCATCCTAAAATTCGGAGTGTCTTAACAGAAAACGAGGAGAATAATTGGGGAGGTAAATGTAACAGCCCCATAAGTGCAACTAAGTATTATATACGGCAGTCAGGGAATGTACTTATTACACTTAGCATTAAGGTGGTCAGAGAAATGGCTACTGGAGTTCAGCACATGGAAATGGGGGTCAGGTGATAGAAGACCAATGGGACAGTACACATTGAAGGGAAACTGGCTACCTGTAACGATTCGAGAAAGAGACCTGGAAGTAGACGTAACTCCTGAGGTACATATAAATAGGATAACGACAGCAGCGTAACCAATACTGGCAAAAGTTAGAACATCATTCAGAAAACTAGGTGAAGAGGCTTTTAGGGCGCTTTACACTGCCTACGTGAGACCAGTCATAGAGTATGCTGTGCCATCATGGAGCCCCCACCTGAAGAAACACATAAGGAAACTGGAAAAGATTCAGACGTTTATGACGCGGCTCGTCCCAGAGTTACGTGGGATGGGATATGAAGTGCGCCTGAAGAAACTGACCCTTACGACACTAGAAAAGAGAAGGGAGAGGGAGGATATGATAGAAACGTATAAAATGCTCAGGGGAATTGACAAATTGGAAATAGATGAAATGTTCACATGTAATATTAACAGAACGAGGGGACATGGGTGGGAGCTGGAAACTCAGATGAGTCACAGAGATGTTAAGAAGTTTTCTTTTAGCGTGAGAGTAGTGGGAAAATGGAATGCACTTAAGGAGCAGGTTGTGGAGGCAAACTCTATTCATAATTATAAAATTAGATATGATAGGGAAATGGGACAGGAGTCATTGCTGTAAACAACCGATGGCTAGAAAGGCGGGATCCAGTCAATGAGCGATCCTGAAGGCACATATAGGGGAGTACAAATAGGTGAGTATGCACACACACACAGGCGCCGGCGAGAAACAATGGGCAGAGTTTCTTTCACCCTGATGTCCCTGTTACCTAGCAGTAAATAGGTACCTGGGAGTTAGACAGCTGTTTCCTGGGTGTGTGTGTGAAAACAATAGTAGTTTGTTACAGTTGATTGATTGACAGTTGAGAGGCGGGCCGAAAGAGCTGAGCTCAACCCCCCAAGAACAACTAGGTGAATATACATACACACTCACATTCACACTCCCTCTCACACCCACACCCACACACACACACACGAGTACACAGACACACACACACACACACACGCACATGCACACACACACACACACACACACACACACACACACACACACACACACACACACACACACACACACATACGTACTTAGCACAAATAACTGATATAATTTTAGCTTAGTCACCAGAGGTGAATATATATATATATATATATATATATATATATATATATATATATATATATATATATATATATATATATATATATATATATATATAACAGGCTTAAATGAGTCCCAAGCCAATATGCAACTGAAAACTCCACACCCCAGAAGGATTCGAATACAAAATATATATGTTTGTGTTGCTCACATGACCCCCACCATGTGAGATGATTCGATAAAATATCTATGCCCAACTTGACCACCCACGGGCTCACCATAGCCCGTGCTACATGGACACTTCGTTCTGAGTAGCTAAATCTGAAACAACAACAACAACAGTTGGCCACTGAGTGCTGTCAGATCTTGGATAAGTAGGCTTACGACTACCAAGATTTTCGTACAGTCAGTGTGGTCTAGTGGTTAAGGTACTAGGTACGCCATATATATATATATATATATATATATATGTCGTACCTAGTAGCCAGAACTCACTTCTCAGCCTACTATTCAAGGCCCGATTTGCCTAATAAGCCAAGTTTTCCTGAATTAATATATTTACTATAATTTTTTTCTTATGAAATGATAAAGCAACCCTTTTCTCTATGTATGAGGTCAATTTTTTTTTATTGGAGTTAAAATTAACGTAGATATATGACCGAACCTAACCAACCCTACCTAACCTAACCTAACCTATATTTATAGGTAAGGTTAGGTTAGGTAGCCAAAAAAAGCTAGGTTAGGTTAGGTTAGGTAGGTTAGGTAGACGAAAAAACATTAATTCATGAAAACTTGGCTTATTAGGCAAATCGGGCCTTGAATAGTAGGCTGAGAAGTGCGTTCTGGCTATTAGGTACGACATATATATATATATATATATATATATATATATATATATATATATATATATATATATATATATATATATATATATATATATATATATATATATATAATGGAACAGCGCTAAGATAGGATGGGTAATTAGCACTAGTATGTACATTCACACGATCCTCAACCCTTAGTCCTTCAGACTGTGGGTTAATACTGCATGGCTAAACCACAATGCTTGGTCACTTGCGGTGCCTGAAGTGTCCAGATGGTGTTCTCTGTGACTACGGAAGTGTGAGCTCTGTATTAACACCCGCGGGTTACATTGTTGTCGCCGAAACCCTCTTATACGTCTTGCATCTGTTTGTCAAATTGCTAACTCAAAATTAATGTTGAGCAGGATATGTAAAGTGATGATTTTTGTTCATCTGAACTCTCTTGTGCCTTAGCAGAAGAGAGTGTCATAATTGCCATATATTTTAACATTTTGGCAGAAGAGCCAAGATTAAACTCTCAGAAAAATAACCTAGATTATTTGTTTTTCTTTGTCTTAACTGGGACGTTTTGTGTTAGGAGGCTCACCTGAGATTGCTAGTTTTAGCTGACATTGAAGTTAAATATGGGGAAGCGGTGGTCAGGATCTAGCTGGTCAGGAACCTAACACTGCTACGGTTCCTTCAGCTGGTGGAGGTCAGAAGGTGGGTGACAGCGAACTGCTGGAGGCAGTATCAGAGGCAATCTGGCACGTCTCCCTTCTCCCAGAGCACGTCGCTGCTGTTAAGGACCTCAACGCCGTGCCCGTCTTGGTGGCTCTTCTCCACCACAACGACGAGAAGGTGAGGTGCTTCTCCAACACAGGGAAAGTATTTGCGTATATACACACTAGATGTTCTTTTATGGTCCTTTCACAGTTACAGTCCTCTTCCTGTACCGGGTAAGTCCACTACGGGCTCACCATAGTCCGTGCTACTTGGAAGTTTTCGTTCCGAGTAGCTGAATATAAAACAACAACAACATGGTCGGACGCTTCTCACTATATAATGACTCCCTTTCCTTATGTTATATTTTCATTTGGACTTTTTAGTGTAATTTGCCTCTAAATGTAATGTAATTTGAGCGTGGTGAGATGGAATTCCCTCAGTCATTTCCTAGAGATCAATCTTCTTAGTCCTGGAACAGATTTTGTTGCTTTTCTCTATATATTTTCTAGTTTTGGTGAGCATTTCCCGATGGAGATTACGGTGTTCTGATGGCATGCTTGACAGTTCCTAACGGCTGCTAAGAACATTGTTTGCTTCTAGCACTGTGTTATCGCTTCTTTGCTATCATGTTCTCCTGGGGTGAGGGAAGCTGTTATGTAAACTACCAAATCTCTATCTGTGTTTCCTTCTTTTTCATCCTGTATTACCCTTGAGGTCTTGTTGCTCCTGTTCCTATCCTCGTCACGCTTTTGTAATCAGGGTTAAAGTTAACAGTCATATTTTGAATAATTTCTTAAGTCTCTCTTCGTTTTTCATTTTCTCATTAGTTTTACTTCAGCTGCGATCAAGCATATCACGGACCCAATTTTCTCAGTCATGTCGGTGACGTATATTAGGAATAGGATGGATCCCTGATCTTCTTAGTACCTTGCTCGTGACAACTCGCTTCTTTGACTTCTGTCTCTGCATGATTCTTTGTTTCATGTCCGAGAGGTACTCCTAACCTGTCCCAGGCCCTCCCAGTTTCACCAGCTTTTGTTCTAAAGTGCGTACTTAGGCCTCTTGAGTTAGTTTCAAACGCACTTCGGCAGGCAAAGACGATATAATCGTTTTATTAGTGTCATCCTCTCCTAGAACTCTTGAAGGTTCTACAGGCAAGCTCACATACATTCCTGGATCCACATACTGGTGTTTAGAAACAAAGGCCTCCTTTCTATATGACCAGCTCCAATATCTTGACAGAGATGGTTGTAAGTGACAGAGACCAATAGTTCAATAGCTCTTTCTCTACTTTCTCGTATAAAGGCATCAGTTTCCCTGGTTTACATGCCATAATTCACTCTTTTGAAGTTGAGGAGCATGGGGTCTAATGCTTCTACCACTAGCCACTCTGGGAGATCACATGGGTCTGTAGTTTTCGTTGCATCCAGTTCCTCCAGCAGTTGTATTACCTTCTCTGGGGTCAGATCTATCACCCTCCGTCAGTTATTGGGGAAAGTTTCTTCTCCTTGGTTCATGGGGGAGGTCTGGAGTCAGTGCAAGTGTGTGGTGCCGCAGGTGTTGAGTACAGTTGTGTGGTAGCGCAGGTGTAGAGTACAGATGTTTGTTGGCACAGGTGTAGAGTACAGGTGTGTGATGGCGCAGGTGCTGACGAACGTGGTGGGGGCGCTGGGAGAAGTGGCAGGCGACCCTGACTGCTGCCTGACGTTGCTAGGGGGCGGAGGAGTTACGACGCTCATCCAACTGCTGCGGCGCACCTCTGACAAGCTCCTGCTCAACGTCACACGCGCCCTGGGCTCCTGCGCTGCCGAAGATGAAGCCCTGACAGCCCTCCTGCAGCAGGACGGGCTGCGTCTCCTGTGGTCCCACCTCAAGAACCCCAACTGTCGCGTCCAGGCCTCGGCCGCCAACGCTATCTGCACCTGCCTCCAGCAAGAATCGGTAAGACGGATATCACTCTCGTGGCGCTCTCAGGTGAGGTAAATATTAATATATACACAAGAAGTGTACCTGAGTGACACAAGGGAGCTACGGTAAAGGCTACATAACCCGCTAAAGTGACAATCTCATATTAGACAAGGGGATTGATAACCGTTGATCCGTTGATAACCAAGGGGAAAGATAACCGTTGGGGATTTGAATATTATTATTCGAATCCCCAACGGTTCAATTGAATCTAGAATATGTAATAAGTGTAATTAGGGCATGCAGTGTCGCTAACGTTTAATGACAACGGTCGGGAGTTTAGCATGTGCGTGTGTGCGCTGCAGGAGGGGCTGGCGGAGGTGGTGAGGAGTCTGGTGGGGGGCATCGAGCTGCTGGTGTCGCTGCTGGAGAGTGAGAGCGAGTCGGTGCTCTCGTCAGTGTGCGCCGCCATCGCCAGGATAGCGCGTGACCCTCAGAACCTGGCCATCATGACGGACTATGGCGCTGTAACCTCCCTCTCCAGGTTGGCTGTCAGGGTAGGTCCACAATGTGTGTTGGTGAGTGTAGTGTGTTGGTGAGTGTAGTGTGTTGGTGAGTGTAGTGTGTTGGTGAGTGTAGTGTGTTGGTGAGTGTAGGTGTGTTGGTGAGTGTAGTGTGTTGGTGAGTGTAGTGTGTTGGGGAGTGTAGGTGTGTTGGTGAGTGTAGTGTGTTGGTGAGTGTAGGGTGTGTTGGTGAGTGTAGGGTGTGTTGGTGAGTGTAGTGTGTTGGTGAGTGTAGTGTGTTGAGGAGTGTAGGTGTGTTGGTGAGTGTAGTGTGTTGGTGAGTGTAGTGTGTTGGTGAGTGTAGGGTGTGTTGGTGAGTGTAGGGTGTGTTGGTGAGTGTAGTGTGTTGGTGAGTGTAGTGTGTTGAGGAGTGTAGTGTGTTGGTGAGTGTAGTGTGTTGGGGAGTGTAGGTGTGTTGGTGAGTGTAGTGTGTTGGTGAGTGTAGTGTGTTGGTGAGTGTAGGGTGTGTTGGTGAGTGTAGTGTGTTGGTGAGTGTAGGGTGTGTTGGTGAGTGTAGTGTGTTGGTGAGTGTAGTGTGTTGGTGAGTGTAGGGTGTGTTGGTGAGTGTAGTGTGTTGGTGAGTGTAGTGTGTTGAGGAGTGTAGGTGTGTTGGTGAGTGTAGTGTGTTGGTGAGTGTAGGTGTGTTGGTGAGTGTAGGTGTTGGTGAGTGTAGTGTGTTGGTGAGTGTAGTGTGTTGGTGAGTGTAGTGTGTTGGTGAGTGTAGTGTGTTGGGGAGTGTAGGTGTGTTGGTGAGTGTAGTGTGTTGGTGAGTGTAGGGTGTGTTGGTGAGTGTAGGGTGTGTTGGTGAGTGTAGTGTGTTGGTGAGTGTAGTGTGTTGAGGAGTGTAGGTGTGTTGGTGAGTGTAGTGTGTTGGTGAGTGTAGGTGTGTTGGTGAGTGTAGGTGTTGGTGAGTGTAGTGTGTTGGTGAGTGTAGTGTGTTGGCGAGTGTAGTGTGTTGGTGAGTGTAGTGTGTTGGGGAGTGTAGGTGTGTTGGTGAGTGTAGTGTGTTGGTGAGTGTAGGGTGTGTTGGTGAGTGTAGGTGTGTTGGGGAGTGTAGTGTGTTGGTGAGTGTAGGTGTGTTGGTGAGTGTAGTGTGTTGGTGAGTGTAGTGTGTTGGTGAGTGTAGATGTGTTGGTGAGTGTAGTGTGTTGGTGAGTGTAGTGTGTTGGTGAGTGTAGTGTGTTGGTGAGTGTAGTGTGTTGGTGAGTGTAGGTGTGTTGGTGAGTGTAGTGTGTTGGTGAGTGTAGTGTGTTGGTGAGTGTAGGTGTCTTGGTGAGTGTAGTGTGTTGGTGAGTGTAGTGTGTTGGTGAGTGTAGTGTGTTGGTGAGTGTAGTGTGTTGGTGAGTGTAGTGTGTTGGTGAGTGTAGTGTGTTGGTGAGTGTAGTGTGTTGGGGAGTGTAGTGTGTTGGTGAGTGTAGTGTGTTGGTGAGTGTAGTGTGTTGGTGAGTGTAGTGTGTTGGTGAGTGTAGTGTGTTGGTGAGTGTAGTGTGTTGGTGAGTGTAGTGTGTTGGTGAGTGTAGGGTGTGTTGGTGAGTGTAGGTGTTGGTGAGTGTAGTGTGTTGGTGAGTGTAGGTGTCTTGGTGAGTGTAGTGTGTTGGTGAGTGTAGTGTGTTGGGGAGTGTAGGGTGTTGGTGAGTGTAGTGTGTTGGTGAGTGTAGTGTGTTGGTGAGTGTAGTGTGTTGGTGAGTGTAGTGTGTTGGTAAGTGTAGGTGTCTTTGTGAGTGTAGTGTGTTGGTGAGTGTAGTGTGTTGGTGAGTGTAGTGTGTTGGTGAGTGTAGTGTGTTGGTAAGTGTAGTGTGTTGGTGAGTGTAGTGTGTTGGTGAGTGTAGTGTGTTGGTGAGTGTAGTGTGTTGGTGAGTGTAGTGTGTTGGTGAGTGTAGTGTGTTGGTGAGTGTAGTGTGTGTAGTGTGTTGGTGAGTGTAGTGTGTTGGTAAGTGTAGTGTGTTGGTGAGTGTAGTGTGTTGATGAGTGTAGTGTGTTGGTGAGTGTAGTGTGTTGGTGAGTGTAGTGTGTTGGTGAGTGTAGGGTGTGTTGGTGAGTGTAGGGTGTGTTGGTGAGTGTAGGTGTTGGTGAGTGTAGTGTGTTGGTGAGTGTAGGTGTCTTGGTGAGTGTAGTGTGTTGGTGAGTGTAGGGTGTGTTGGTGAGTGTAGTGTGTTGGTGAGTGTAGGTGTTGGTGAGTGTAGTGTGTTGGTGAGTGTAGGGTGTGTTGGTGAGTGTAGGGTGTGTTGGTGAGTGTAGGGTGTTGGTGAGTGTAGTGTGTTGGTGAGTGTAGGGTGTTGGTGAGTGTAGGGTGTGTTGGTGAGTGTAGGGTGTTGGTGAGTGTAGGTGTTGGTGAGTGTAGTGTGTTGGTGAGTGTAGGTGTTGGTGAGTGTAGTGTGTTGGTGAGTGTAGGGTGTGTTGGTGAGTGTAGGGTGTGTTGGTGAGTGTAGGGTGTGTTGGTGAGTGTAGGGTGTTGGTGAGTGTAGGGTGTGTTGGTGAGTGTAGGGTGTTGGTGAGTGTAGGTGTTGGTGAGTGTAGTGTGTTGGTGAGTGTAGGTGTTGGTGAGTGTAGTGTGTTGGTGAGTGTAGGGTGTGTTGGTGAGTGTAGGGTGTGTTGGTGAGTGTAGGTGTGTTGGTGAGTGTAGTGTGTTGGTGAGTGTAGGTGTTGGTGAGTGTAGTGTGTTGGTGAGTGTAGGGTGTGTTGGTGAGTGTAGGGTGTGTTGGTGAGTGTAGGGTGTGTTGGTGAGTGTAGGTGTGTTGGTGAGTGTAGTGTGTTGGTGAGTGTAGGTGTTGGTGAGTGTAGTGTGTTGGTGAGTGTAGTGTGTTGGTGAGTGTAGTGTGTTGGTGAGTGTAGGGTGTGTTGGTGAGTGTAGGGTGTGTTGGTGAGTGTAGGGTGTTGGTGAGTGTAGTGTGTTGGTGAGTGTAGGTGTGTTGGGGAGTGTAGGTGTGTTGGTGAGTGTAGGGTGTGTTGGTGAGTGTAGTGTGTTGGTGAGTGTAGGTGTGTTGGTGAGTGTAGTGTGTTGGTGAGTGTAGGGTGTGTTGGTGAGTGTAGGTGTGTTGGTGAGTGTAGGTGTGTTGGTGAGTGTAGTGTGTTGGTGAGTATAGGGTGTGTTGGTGAGTGTAGGTGTGTTGGTGAGTGTAGTGTGTTGGTGAGTGTAGGTGTTGGTGAGTGTAGGGTGTGTTGGTGAGTGTAGGGTGTGTTGGTGAGTGTAGGTGATGGTGAGTGTAGGGTGTTGGTGAGTGTAGTGTGTTGGTGAGTGTAGGGTGTGTTGGTGAGTGTAGGTGTGTTGGATAGTGTAGGTGTGTTGGTGAGTGTAGGTGTGTTGGATAGTGTAGGTGTGTTGGATAGTGTAGGTGTGTTGGATAGTGTAGGTGTGTTGGTGAGTGTAGGTGTGTTGGTGAGTGTAGGTGTGTTGGTGAGTGTAGGTGTGTTGGTGTAGTGTGTGTTGGTGAGTGAGTGTTGGTGAGTGTAGGTGTGTAGTTGTTGGTGAGTGTAGGTGTGTTGGTGAGTGTAGGTGTGTTGGTGTAGGTGTGTTGGTGAGTGTAGGTGTGTTGGTGAGTGTAGGTGTGTTGGATAGTGTAGGTGTGTTGGTGAGTGTAGGTGTGTTGGATAGTGTAGGTGTGTTGGATAGTGTAGGTGTGTTGGTGAGTGTAGGTGTGTTGGATAGTGTAGGTGTGTTGGTGAGTGTAGGTGTGTTGGTGAGTGGGTGTAGAGTGTAGGTGTGTTGGATAGTGTAGGTGTGTTGGTGAGTGTAGGTGTGTTGGATAGTGTAGGTGTGTTGGATAGTGTAGGTGTGTTGGTGAGTGTAGGTGTGTTGGATAGTGTAGGTGTGTTGGATAGTGTAGGTGTGTTGGTGAGTGTAGGTGTGTTGGTGAGTGTAGGTGTGTTGGTGAGTGTAGGTGTGTTGGTGAGTGTAGGTGTGTTGGTGAGTGTAGGGTGTTGGTTAGCGTTCATAAAGTGTTCGATGAGTCTTTTACATAGTGTCATTAATGTGCATTTACAAAAGTGAAATGTAATTCTGAACAGCTTCCATATATACTTTATACACATACATATACATACACACACACACATATACGTACATATACATATATATACACACACATGCATTCACATACATTTGTCTCTTTTACTCTGACAGGGTGAGATAGCTGATAGAGAAACTAGTGTGCAATTAAGCTCTTAATCACTGAAGGTGATTAAGGTGCTTTTACAAGCTCAGGTTATATAGTTACATCACATACATACATTGTATGATTGATACATTGCTTGGTCAATCTTGGGTACAAGTCCAATATATCATCAAGTGTTCCAGTACTTATATAGTAATTACACAGTTCAGCATACCTTAGCCCAGGAGGGCGAAAGTCAGTCAGTATGGGACATTCAACAATATAATGTTCAAGAGAGTGCATGTTTTCTCTTTCACAAAGTTGACACATTGTGTACTCGACACTTTCACAAAGTTGACACATTGTGTACTCGACATTTGGGTTTTGAGAAAGCTGCCAGATAGGTCTATATCCCAGGCGTATTCTGGCCACTATAACATCACATTGCCGGGTTCTTGTTCTATTAGTCCCATATATGTGAATGTCTCCTCACGATATCTATCATAATATTTAATGCTACAACTTTCAGGTCTTTGTGAATTTGTTAAGTCGGTGAGATCTTCATTAGACATTTGTTTAAGTATTCTCTTTGTCACTGCTAATAAAACACCCATATCAATTTCTACCACTGGTTTTCTACAGGCTGTCTTTGCAAGCATATCAACAGTGTCATGCCTTGAGATGCCAACATGTGATGGTATCCATAGGAATTAAATTTCAAATCTGTTTTCTTTAGCAGCTAAAACATTCATTCGAATATCACTGACTATTTTCTGGGTGTCGCTACTATGTGCGTTCAATACCAGGAGTGCACTCTGCGAGTCACAGTATATAAGTCACACCGAAAACTGTGCTAATAGACAAAATTCTCTCACTTATTGTAGGTAAGTTTAACTGGTGAGT